GACATTAAAAATGATACAGGGTTTCAAACCAAATGATAGGGATCAACAATGGTTGTTATATTACATATTGTTATCTTCAACAAAGTTGCTCAGATTACCAGATGTAAGAATAGAAGATTGATCAAATCATTAAAGGGAATAAGAAAATAATAATTTAAAAGAACACTAGAGACAATACATAGTTTCACTAGACAGGACGGTAGGAATTCAACAATAGTTATACTGCAAATTGTAGAAATCAGTTTGGAGATTCCTCACAAAACAAGGATCAGAAGTCCCACTTAACCCAACTATTCCCCTTCTGGGTATTTTTCCAGAAGAATTAAAAATATCATACCACAGCAATATATGTGCACCCATGTTCATAGCAGCGCAATTTGTCATAGCTAAATCTTGGAAACCACACTTTGACTTTTAGATTGCTATTTTCTTTTAATAACGTATACCCAAGAAGCTGGACTTCAGTGATTGCTGAGGTTGCTAGTAGAAAATGAAGGTGGTGGTGTCAACAGGATTACAGAGCTTGAGAAATTGGAAAGTGTCCAACATTTAAAGGTTTTGTTTTTTTTTGGTGGTGGTACTGGGGATTGAACTCAGGGCCTTGTGCATGCTAGGTAAACACTCTTACCACTGAGCTACAACCCCTAGCCCAACACTTAAAAATTTTTAAGACATACTGATTGGATTGTTTAATAAAGCTAAGTCTTTTGCTGTTATGCTTTTGTCTAGATGTACTGTAAAAATAGTGAGACACTAAGAAAGGTTGAGAACTGCTGACTCGAGAGTGTCAGGGAGTAGACCTTAGCAGGCTTTTGGCCACTCGCTACGTTTGGTCTCTACTACTGCCTTCATTTTCACCCAAGCTTTCACCTGAGTCACTTCAAGCAGCTACACTACAGCATCGCCTCCTTTTCTTTTCCCCCTTTCCTTTGCTTCTGCCAAGGTAACCAACCATGCACTTGTGGAGATACACATTCACTTGCCAGAGTCAGTGGGATATCAGTCAGGGGAAGAGCGTTGCCTTGTGAGGTTTGAGCAGAGCGTGATCTCTGCTTCTTTCTTGATGGTCTCCATGGTTTCATGCTCAGGATTCTCACCTATTTAACCATTGTCTCAAATATTAGTTATGTTCTTAAATGTGTAACACTAACCTAAATCTTACTTCTGAATTTCAGATGTGTGTTTGAAATTTCTTAAGCATTTCCAACTCATAAAAGATCAAACTTTTCTTTTCCTTCTCAGTGAATGAACATCTATCCCAGTTAACCAGGTTAGAATTCTGTAGTTCGCCTTAGATTTTTTTGTTCCCCTTGAGGCTTCCTTATTATTAGCAACATTGTGTAATCAATGGCAAAATGGCTGTAGTTTTCTACCATTCCCCTTGCAAGGTGACTTTATAGTTCCTCCTGTAATCCACTTTCCAGCTTTTGGGTTGGCTTTGTGAGTTGATTTGCTTAAAAGAACGGTGTAGTGGCATTATGCAGAGTTAGGGTCTAGGCCTCAGAGCCTGCTGCGGTCCCACTGGCACTGTTGGAAGCCTGCCCAGCTGCTGTGCAAATAAGTCTGCACTGGCCCAGCAGAAGAGCGGGCCCTGTGAAGCAGAGTAAACCGCTCAACTGGAGCCGCCCCACAGCAGCCAGCTGTTGCCCAAGGACAGACACAGGAGTGAGCTCATTTAACTTTACGTTAACAAAGACTTTTTAATGACAGAGAAAATTTCTGACATTGATAGAAGAAAATGCTATGTAATATAGAGAGTTTTCACACAATGTTTGGTTTCCTTCTGAGTAATGCCTGACTGGTCTCCTTACTGAAAAGTGAGCAGCTCTCCTACTGAAAAGTGAAACTTAAGTAGAATTTTTTTTTAAAAGCCTTTTTAGATGTACCTAGGACCTGGAAATAGCCTAGCAGATGAAGTAATTACAGGGCTAATATTGCTCAGTGGGTGCAGCCTCTTTTTCCTGAGGGTGAATTTCACATTTGGTTTTGATTGTGCATAGAAACACTAAAGACGGAACACAAAGCTTAGAGCCCTCTGGAAATCAGGACCCTAAGGACTATACTCTTGTGGTAAGAGTGAGCCAAAGCCTGCTGTAGTACTTCTCCAATTTGTAGGTTATCTCGAATTCAAGTCATCTATGTGCTCAAACAAAAGTTGTGAATTTACTTGACGTGCTCCCCCAAATAAGTGCCTGGGAGATGTAAACAAATGTTTGGCAGATATTAAGGTCACAGTTTTCTTAGGAAAATGGGTGCCTTATGTTTAAATAAACTCCACAAGGAAAGCTAGCACCACAACTAAGGCAGCAAAGGCAGACCTGCAGAAAACTCAAGATACTGAAATTAGCTCATGTGTAATACAAAGCCTATGTGTTAGAATAGGAGTTGCTTACAATGTCTATAGGAATCAAAGCATTATAAAACTGACTAGCATACTTGAGAAAAGATGAAATAGAACTTTACAAATGGAGAACAGAATGATTACAACAAAACAATGGAAAACCTAAATGGGCAGATTCAACAGAAAGTAAGACAGTAAGATAAATTCAACAGAAAGTAAGAATTAGAGGCTAGGGTATAACACAGAAGAAATCCAGAATGTTGCATAGAAAATTAGCTGGAAAACATGGGAGCACAGGAAAAGGCAAAACGGTTTAATGTTTACCTAATAGTTTCAAGTGGATAGTGGGATAAAAGCAATATTTGAAGATATAACTGCTGAGGATTTTTCAAGTAAAAAGACTACAAGATAGATGTAAATCCTCACTTTGCCATATAATAATCAAAGTACAACACCAAAGAGAAAAACCTGTTAAATTAGCCAAAACAAAAGTTCCAGATAACCTTGCAACGGACATCAGAGCAAGACATGTCCCTGAATGGGACTGGGAAGTCAGCTGTCCCCCTCTGCTCCGCTATAGTTCTCAGAAAAATGCGCTGGGAATGGAAAATCCTTAGATAAGGAGAGAATATGCAGAACAGCCTGGGCTCTATTCCTGTTGCTCCTAGAGCAGGATGTCCTTTGTAACAATCAGTTAAATTGGATTATCAATTTGATTGGCTTGACAGCCACCCAGAGGATTAGTAAAGCACATTTGTGGGTGTGTCAGGGGGGAGTCATGGAGGCATGGCCTTGGGCACCATGTTGGGTCTTTCATCCTTTGCTCTCTGTTGCCATTCCAGTGCTCTGCATTCTTGGTGACAATAAACTACATAGCTTTGTTCCATCATGCTCTTCTGCCATGATGTTCATCCCATGGAACTAGCCCAGAATGGCCTGAATCCCCTAAAGCCATGAGCCACTTTACACTTCTCCTTTAAATTACCCTTCTCTATGATGTCCCTGCCTTAGAGCTAGCCAACCATGGACTGAATCCTCTAAAACCATGAACCAATTTAAATCTCTCCTTAAGTTCTGGGTGTTGGATATTGTGTCCCAGTAACAGGAAAGCCTACCAGTACAACCGTCAACATTGTGACTCAACTCATCAAGTCATCCTCAGGGCATAAAACTCAGGGAGGGCTGCCTGTCAGGGTCCTTCTGCTGCAGTGCAGGTAAGGAGTATGCAGACAAGACTCCTCGGCAGATTTCCTGAGCCAGCTGCTGTTATCTCTTGCTGCTTATCTATGGTTAATAAGTGACTTCATGTAATATGTGTGCCAGCATTGTC